CAGAAGCGCTGCGTGATGTACAGCCTGTATGATTGCTGTCAGCGATATGTTCCCAGTACCCGACGTGGGAAAGGGAAATGCAAATGCAACATTTGTCTTGTCAGAAGAGGCTCTGAACTGCCGGGATTGAAGGGACAGGCTGAGGCTGCTCTCAGGATCAGATCTCTTCTCTATCCATGCAGCGAAGAGCAGGATCTGCCTTTGCACTTCTTGACTGTTGGTACAAATCTGTGGTGCCTGCTCACCAGCTGGTGACATGAGATGGTGGCTCTGGCCCCTTCCCGGGGGGGAGACCCTGCATACAATTAATCAACACTGAAAACTTGGCACCTTTCAGCGGAGAAGCTAAAAAGACACCGGCTCTAAGTCCAGCTCCCCTCTGCTGTGATCCCTTTGCATCGGGCTGATTCCAAGGGGAACACACAGCATTGACCACTGTGCCGCAGCTGCTCCAAGCTGCAGTAACATGCTGCTTCAGGGTTGTCAGTCCAGCAGCTGTCACAGTCCCTACGTGGATGCAGACTCTTAAAAAAAGTTGGAAAATGTCAGGGGTTTTATCCAAGTGACCTGCCCCTGCTGTGCAGACCAGACTTGATGCACAGCACAGAAGTGCAGGTAAGATTATGCAAATAATCATTCAGCACACACAAGTACTTTTGATGAGTTTAATGATGAGAGGGAATTTATTTTTAGGACATATGTTCTTTTCTGATGCCTATGCACATGCCTGCACGCACCAGGCTTTCACCTCCTGACCCTCTGATATATCTGGCATAGCAGCAGGGTATTCATTCACTCCTCCACTTTGGGCTGCTATTTTAGCATTTTTGTCTTAGCACCCCACCCGATTACAGTGCCCAGCTGGAACTGCGTTGTCTCTTGTGAGCTGTTTTGCCACCACAGTTCTATAGTGAACAAGGCAGGCAGCAGGACTATCACCTCTTCTCACATCAGATGTAAAAGGACAGATCCCAGTTTAATAGCAATTGTAGTTAAATGCTGAGAGAATGGAGAGGTACCTGCAGAAAGAAAGGAAAAACTCTGAAGGCTGAAGTGACAAACATTTTGATTTTAGCTCTCTGTGTCTTTTCAGGTTTTACTTTGATTTTGTCACTCACACATTTTTCTGAGACCATTTATGCTGCCAGTGAAGATCCAACTTATCTTTTTCTTGGAAGTAAATATAATCTAGTTTGACAACACTGGTCAGATGTTCCTAGTTAGAAGGGGAATGGAAGAGAAGAATTCTTTTTTCTTATATAAAACAAGCTTTGGTATCCCCTACCCTCTGGCTTTTTTAGCAGCTAATAGGGCTTAGAGCAGGAATAAATTAATTGGCATGAATATGTTCTTGGAAGAATAGTACAAGAGGTCTCCCAAGATCTGAAGTTAGTTTTCACGTGGTAGCGTTTTACTGCCTGTGCATCTAGTGTGTTTTGTGGGACATCAAGACTTGGGTCTGTGTGCATATTTCTACTGCCTAGACTCAAAGACAACAATCACAATTTTGTCCTTCACTTAGACTTCCAGCTATTGCTTCTGATTTCATTGCAATTGAAGCTTAGGGACCAAGTGTATTGCTTACTGACCTCATGCTATAGCTGCAAATAGTACAGCTTCTTCTCTGCACCTCCACAGGGTGCTCATGTGAAGAGATGCATTTCCACTCTTACCTGCTGCTTTCCCTACCCTCAAGGGCAGGGATCTCTCACCTTCCTGCTGCCTCTTTTCCCTCCAAAACCTGTCTATATATCTGGTGCTGACGGGTTGTTCTAGATTGTCTACAAAGCTTGTGAAGTTAACAAGTGGAAAGAAGCTATCAAGCTTTATGCATTTATTTTGAATGCGTAACATGGACATCTGGAGCCATGCTCTTTCTTATGACTTTCATATTTCTATTTTTAAAAAGTAAGATTCTGATATTGGTGATTACAAAAAAGAATTTGATCAACATAAAAAATCTGAAGACAAATCTCCTCCAAATTATAATTGTTTAAAAAACTGTTCTATTTCTAAAGCAGTCTGATGAGGAACTGAGTCATTAATTTTGTATGCTAATGACTGGTGATCACTGGTGAGAAGGCTGGGTATACACCCCTATGAATCAGATGTGGCTGAGTTTAATACTGATCAGAAGATCTAGAAATGTTAAGGAAAGCAGATGCACATTTGAGTTTCATTGTAGGAGACCCCACGACTATGCTATTGAGAAGCTTTTCAGCTAACGAAGTGTGTGGGACATTTCCATGGTGTCTAGCCAAACATGTAAAATACTGCATGAAAGAGTAAGGTAAAGATAGGTAAAGACCAAGAAGTTGTTAGTCTTGTATCTGCACTCCCTGGGCACCTGAAAGGTAGGTGGGAGATCCCTTTTGTTCTTGCCTATGGCTGTATCTCAGGTAACATATATGCCTAAACAGCTGTTTCTGGTATTTTTGAGCATTGCTTTCTAAAATTCTTTTTTCAGTTTGCACATGCTTTTTTACCTAATTCTTGGCAAGCACATGGGGCCTCAAAGACATGTAAAGTAAAAAATCTTCAAGTTTTTCATCATTTTTCTGCTAAATGTCGATAGAGAACACCACAAGGAATTCATAGAATCATAGAATAGTTAGGGTTGGAAAAGACCTTAAGATAATCTAGTTCCAACCCCCCTGCTGTGGGCAGGGACACCTTATGCTAAATCATATCACCCAAGGCCTCGTCCAACCTGGTCTTGAACACTGCCAGGGATGGAGCATTCACAACTTCCCTGGGCAACCTATTCCAGTGCCTCACCACCCTAACAGGAAAGAATTTCCTCCTTATATCCAACCTAAACTTCCCCTGTTTAAGTTTTAACCCATTACCCCTTGTCCTGTCACTACAGTCTCTAATGAAGAATCCCTCCCCAGCATCCCTATAGCCCCCCTTCAGATACTGGAAGGCTGCTATGAGGTCTCCACACAGCCTTCTCTTCTCCAGGCTGAACAGCCCCAACTTCCTCATCCTGTCTACCTACGGGAGGTGCTCCAGTCCCCTGATCATCCTCGTGGTCCTCCTCTGGACTTGTTCCAACAGTTCCATGTCCTTTTGATGTTGAGGACACCAGAACTGCACACAATACTCCAGGTGAGGTCCCACGACAAGGATCACCTCCTTCGACCTGCTGGTCATGCTGCTTTTGATGCAGCCCAGGATACGGTTGGCTTTCTGGGCTGCAAGAGCACACTGAAGCCAGCTCATGTTCATTTTCTCATCAACCAACATCCCCAGGTCCTTCTCCGCTGGGCTGCTCTGAATCTCTTCTCTGCCCAACCTGTAGCTGTGCCTGGGATTGCTCCGACACAGGTGTAGGACCTTGCACTTGCCATTGTTAAACTTCATGAGGTTGGCATCAGCCCACCTCACAAGCATGTCAAGGTCCCTCTGGATGGCATTCCTTCCCTCCAGAGTATCAACCGAACCACACAGCTTGGTGTCATCGGCAAACTTGCTCAGGGCGCACTCAATCCCACTGTCCCTGTCACTGACAAAGATGTTGAACAAGACCGGTCCCAACACTGATCCCTGAGGGACACCACTCGTTACTGGTCTCCAGCCGGACATTGACCCATTGACCACAACTCTTTGTGTGTGGCCATCCAGCCAGTTCTTTATCCACCGAGTGGTCCATCCATCAAATTGATGTCGCTCCAATTTAGAGACAAGGATGTCGTGTGGGACAGTGTCAAACGCTTTACACAAGTCCAGGTAGATGACATCAACTGCTCTACCCCTGTCCATCAGTTCTGTAGCCCCATCATAGAAGGCCACCAAATTGGTCAGGCAGGATTTCCCCTTAGTGAAGCCATGCTGGCTGTCACCAAGCACCGTGTTGATTTTCATGTGCCTTAGCATGCCATCCAGGAGAATCTGCTCCAAGATTTTGCCAGGCACAGAGGTGAGACTGACTGGTCTGTAATTCCCCGGGTCATCCATTTTCCCCTTCTTGAAAATGGGGGTTATATTTCCCTTTTTCCAGTCGTCAGGAGCTTCACCTGACTGCCATGATTTCTCAAATATGATGGACAGTGGCTTCACAACTTCATTCACCAGCTGCTTCAGGACCCGCAGATGGATCTCATCAGGACCCATGGACTTGTGCACATTCAGATTTTTAAGATGGTCTCAAACCAGCTGTTCTCCTACAGTGGGCTCAAGGTCTTCATTCTCACAGTCCCTGCATCTGCCTTCCAAGACTTGGGTGGTTTGGTCAGAGCCTTTGCCAGTGAAGACCGAGGCAAAGAAGTCATTCAGAACCTCAGCCTTCTCCAAATCCTGTGTAGCCAGTTCTCCCGAGAGCTTCCTGAGGGGGCCTACATTCTCCTTAGTCTGTTTTTTATTTGCTATGTACTTGTAAAATCCCTTCCTGTTAATACCTCTAGCTAAGTTGAATTCTAACTGGGTCTTAGCTTTCCTAACCTGGTCCCTAGCTTCTCGGACAACATCCCTGTACTCTTCCCATGCCACCTGTCCTTGCTTCCACTTATTATAAGCCTCTTTTTTCCTTTGAAGTTTCCTCAGCAGCTCCTTATCCATCCAAGGAGGTCTCCTGGCCCTCCTGCTGCACTTCCTTCTAGTTGAGATGCAACACTCCTGAGCTTGTAGCAGGTGATCCTTGAATATCAACCAAGAGTCTTGGGCCCCCCTGCCCTCTAGGGCTATATCCCATGGAACCTTACTAAGCAGGTTCCTGAAGAGGCCAAAGTCTGCTCTTTTGAAGTCCAGCACAGTGAGCTTGCTGCATGCTCTTCTCACTGTCCTGAGGATCTGAAATTAGAGCATCTCATGATCGCTGCATCCAAAGCTGCCCTGGAGCATAACATTTCCAACGAGCCCTTCCCTGTTGGAGCGCATGAGGTCAAGCATGGCACCTCTCCTTGTCAGCTTCTCTATTACTTGCATATGGAAGTTGTCTTCTACACAATCAAGGAACCTCCTGGATTGCTTGTGCCGGGCCGTACCGTCCTTCCAGCAGATGCCATCTTGTGAAGTCTTTCCTTCAACCCATTTGCTGTTTCCTGATATACTCAGTGAAGAACTACTATGAAGCATCTGATCACATCAAAGTGTTTTTTCCAGCAATATTCATGCAAAGGATCCTGAGCACAGATAAGTTGCCTGATTTTCTGTGCTAAGATTAACAGCGTGGAATAGCAGCCACTCCACAGTAGAAGATTCTTTTGCATTTTTCCCACGTTTTCCCATGTATCTTTGAAATGTCGACAGTCATACTTTTGAACATGATGAGAGACAACAGATGTTGTGAGATGTTTGAGATAAGCACTATTAGAAGCAGTAACCTACCTGGGTGTGAATGAACCGTACATAATTTCCACAGAGTAGTTTGTCCTTAATTTTAGGGTAAATCTTACAGTGTGGATGTAATATGGAGGATACTTTCTTCAGACTGATGGACTTAATACTACCTTTATGCTAATGTATGGATTAAGGTCTCGGTCAAGGGCCTTCAGAATCTTCCAGCATGCAAAGACTAGGTCAAGTGCAGGGCAGAGAGTTGGAAACCCTGGAGGGGGATCCACTATGGTAAGTCTGGCAAAATAAAAGCAGAAAAATAGCTTCTTTTGGAGATCGTGTGCTTGTAAGGAGTGGTGGGAGTTTTATGTTATCTCCTACCTACATTCCCAGGCAGAAGGCTGAGCATGCAGTACTTTTTTGCAATCTGTTCTTCTGCTTGAGAATGGTCTTGACAGAGATGCCATATGCACAGCATTGTATTAGAAGTCGGTTTAATTATCTCTCATGGCAATATTAGGGCAGTAGATGTGGCAGTTGCAAGAAAAACAGTAAAATCGGTGCACATGGAATCTCATTTCAGTGGATGTTCCTATTCCGCTGCTGCTTCTGCTGCTGGAAGGAAGGTGGCTGTGAGATAACACAGACTGTGCAGCAGTCTGTCAGCTACCTTTCTTCATTAACTTTGACGGCAATAAAACACAGCTTTTTAAAACAAAGTTCAAGTAGCCAGAGCTCTCTGTGGAAATTAATTTCCTCTGGAAGCTAGTTTCACGTAACTCATCACCTACTTCACTGAACATTATTCAGCCCTGTTGCTGGTGACAGAAGTGCTTGACAGAGCTGCTGAAACTAGGTCATGCGGTGGATAAAATATAGTCTGCTTTCCCAGGCTGTTTTTAGCGTGGACCTCCTGAGGATCATAGTAAATAATATATACCTGAAGGCCACTGGGGGCACTTTGTGCAGTGTTTGGTCCATGAGAGGAAGAGACCATTAATGATATAAACCCATGAAACAGGTTTGCAGGGAGAAACTTTTGGCTGCCTGTCTCTGTTTCTGAGCTGTTACTGTGATAATTTTTTTCCCTAAGTATGGGTAAGTTCATACTGTTGGATGATGCAGTTTCTACCCTCACAGGCCTGATTCCCAGGTTCGGGATGACTATTGAGGACTTCATTGGTGTGGTGGTAATAGTCATTGATCGTCAGTGCTTCAGCAGTCAGACTGAGAAGAGGAGCCCTGAGGGCACTGCCCTTGTTTAAGAACCCAGCTATGCTTGATTACAGGGGTGTAGATGTTTGGCTGTGGGAGCATTAGTTGCTGCCAGAAGAGCCATTTCATGCCTGCCCCAGAGGAAAAGGCTATGGGCCCTGTGGAAGTTAATGTCTTTAAGAAGTCTTTATTAAAAGTGCAAAGTAGTGCTGTTAAAGGCTTTTTAAAAGTCGTGTCCTTTACTTGAAAAGAAACCTGCAAAGAACTAAAACAAAAAAAAATCTGTGATCTATTTTTGTGATGTATAATGACCTATTCCTTTCTCTTCCCTTTCCCTTTCCCTTTTCTATGCCTCCCTCAAAAGGTTAGGAGTTTTCCCAGTTATTTTTTAACAGCTTGTTTTCCACCCTGTAAAATGCTGGATTTCAGTGCTTCCCTCACTGGAAGAACCAAGGCACTGAATCATTAATAAGGCTATCCTTTGTGCCAAATGTTTGTTTGTGATTAATGTTAAGCAGATTTAATGAATAAAAATAAAAAATAAAAAAGGTTTAAATATAACATCTCTCCTAAAATACACATCCTGCAATTTTCTTCCCCCAAAAATGTATGTTTGGACAACTCTATTCACACATTTTTCTTTTTTCTGTCAAAGTGCACTCCAAAGAATTTTTACCCTTCCTTTCTCATCACTCTGCTTGGATGCCTTCATAGTGATGGGAGGCAACATCTGAGTGATCCCAAAGGTGAAGTTGCATGTTATGGCTGAGTCTTACAAACAACTTACATCTGCTGAGGGGGAGAGATCCTCTTCCTCCTTGTCCTCCCTACCCCTGCTCTTGCTCTCAGTCTTGTGCTGACTCTGCAGCTCGTAAAACTTTTTACTCAACCGATTTCGCCCCTATACTGGCAGAAAATAAATTGCTTTTTCTGAGATAATTTGCTGCTGGATTACTGGGTTGTATCAATTCTCAGTCGCTCCCAGCAAGCACCAGAGCTGGTGGAAGGTAAGCAAGAGAGCATGTCTAAGAGTGATATGGGGAGTGTAGTACTTCCCCTTTTCAACAGTGGCAGCAAAATGTTGGGTGGGTTCAGGTGACCTGTGCTGCTTCTCCACTGAGGCAGTCACTCATCACTTAAGCCATCATAACTCACGATATGCAAACTCTCAGCCTGTCTCAGGAATGCAAAGTGGATGGACACAGAAATACTGTCCTGAACATTCAGGTGAGATGAGTGTTTCTGCTGTTTCTCAAGCCACATTTCACCAGGATGAGGACTGCTCTTACAGCAGCTGCTCTCTAGTAGCAGTGTATCTCCTTGGTATGGATGGGAGTATTTCTTTACGGCATTTCTCAGGGTACAGAGAGATGTGGATTTGGTCCTTGCAGATAGCAATTGGTCTGTGGTTAGCCTTGAGGTGATGATAGTCAGAGGAAAAAATGAAGAAGAGGGTCTACCCACGTTGGAAGTGGGAATTGGATTAGTAAATACAAATGGGAAAGGACTGTGGAGGTATGAAAGGCAATGCCAGTGGATCAGCTCCCAATAATCTTGTCATGCTGACAGCATTTCATCCCCATTGCGTAGCAGTTACATCAGTGTGTTTCCCTGTTACCTCAATACAGGCAAGCAAGGAAGCAGGGATCCCTCCTGGGAAACGACACCTTTGTTAGGCTTCCATCTCAGTGCTACACAAAAGAAAAAAGCAGGAAGGGCTTTAATAGCAAAATAGAGAGCCCCAGCAGTCTGAGCAGCATAAACATTATGTTGGTAGATGGGCACTCTTGCCTTTAACAGAAGGCTGTTTAAATTTCGAAGTGGTGCACGTATTCATGAGGGCTTTTACTGTGTGGGTTCTGATTTTCATGTGGGTTTTGAATGTGTGGGAGAAGCTAATGCATTAAGGACTGCTCATGAATCTCCTGTATTTCCAGTCTTCCCCCTGGGAGCTGTTGATGGTCATTTTATCTTTCTTATATGACTTTTGAAATCGTAAAAAAAAAAAAAAAGGAAATAAGGCAATGTTTTTCTGGTTGCTTCCCAGTGAGATATCTTGCAAAGAAATACCAGGGCTGAAAATGAGAAGTAGAACGTAAATTCCAAACAGCTTAGGTTCAAACCCACAGTTGGGATCCTCAGAAGTTATTTTTACCTAAGTCGCAAATAAAATTAAATCCCTGGGAAAGTAAAAAAAAAAAAAAGCAGAAATAAATGACAATTTTTCTATCGTGATTTGTGATTTGGGGTAAGAGGGCTGAAACAGTTGTGCTGATGCACAATATATCTAGCGATATGACTGGCTTCCAGATGGGAGGTGGGGAACGGTATTAATGAATTACGGGTCTGATGAAAGGTCATTTTTTTCCCCTATCGCATAGACTTCAAATCAGTCAGTGTGTCTCACTTACTCTTTCTTCAAATGAAAATGCTGTGTATTCGAAAATCTCTTTTCCCTGGTGTTTTGCAGCTAAAGGAATTTCTAATTTGCTTTAAACCTTATTATAGGTATAAAGAAAAGTTTAGTTGTATGGAGAAAATGCTTCTCACTTTGAAGATCTCATTTGAAAGGCTGATAAAGAAATGCCCTGAAATTAAAGATATTCTCAGGTTCAGAGAACAAAGGGGGGAAGCACACAGACCCAAGAAAGAAAGGTAAGCAACTTGTCTACCAGAGAAATTGCCTTGAACTGAAATTATTTCCCCAGAGATAATTTGGTCTTATGAGTCAAATTGTCACTAAACAAAGAGCTAAATCAAGAGCAGCAGATTGATTTTTCTTCCAGTGTCTTTCCTCCATTTTTTCCCTAATTAAAAAGTGAAGGAGGATGTGATAAATTCAGCTGATTTTTTTTCCTCACTCTTCCTTGAAGAACCTCTTCACTGTATGCATTTCACTGGTGGATTGGAATGAAAGTCCCTAGGTTAAATTTTCAGAGATGAGCACCAATTTAGTTGGAAAAGTGAAAAAGCAATGGTTTTGCAAATAGTGAACATCTGCATCCTCTGCCTATCATTACAGAAAGTTGTATGTCCCGCACCTATGAGAAAAGAGTCACATATACCAATGTATATGTGAGTAAGCATATATACATATAGTGTGGTTTTGGATTCAGTGATCCAGTCAAACACATGCAGAAATTCATGGTGGGGAAGGGAAATGGAAAGTTACAAAAACAAAAAAGAGGAGTTCAGGTCTCTTTGTTCTCAACAAAAGTTTGTTTGTGTGCCTTGCAATCATCTGTTTCCTCTCCCGATGCATGCATGCATAGAGACTACATGTTTCTTCCTGCTTTTTGGTCTTGCACAGCTTTTCTTCACTGCTCCTGGACACTTTAAGCACTTTGCACAACATTTCCCTTTTGGCTTCTCATTTTCCCATATCTGATGCCAGCATTTCTCACCAGGTTCCTTCTCTGTTCTTCATTTGTTAAATTAACAGTTTCTCTGCTGAGTTGTATTTTTGTCTTCCCCCCACCCCAGGAGAAAGGATAACAAGGGTGCACAAAGCACATCCAAGTGTTGCTTGCATGTTTGGAGACAAGAAAAGCAAGATGCCAGCTCTAAGGGAAAGCTCAGGGTTTGTGCTGTGTAATTTATGTTTAATGCTGCTGCAGAATCTGTTTTTTGTGTCTGGCTCTTCAAAGATGTAACTTCTGTGACATGTTTTGCAGCTCCTCTTGTGCGTGAGAGAGTAAAGGACACTTTGACTCACTTGAGATCCCTCGAAATGCTAAAAAAAGAAAGGGAAGAAAAAAGTACAAGAAAAGACACTCATGGAACTGCTGAGGTGATGTAACAAGGTGTCTTTTCATGTGTATCCTTTATTTTCCCTTCTATCTCATCAAAAGTAAACAAACTAATTCTATGAAGGATAAAAGCTGTAATGTCTCCATGCCATGTTTCTGTGTTCTGGGCTTTTCTCATGGGTTAGCACTTCAGCTGTAATGAGCTTTGAGGTTTGGTGGAAGCAGAGGCAGCAACTATTTACACATGAAATGGTAGAAGACAGTGCCTTTTTCTTGGTGAAGACATGTTATTCTCACTTTGAGTCACAATGAAATCTTTTCAGTCAGTCATATGGCCCCTTAAAACACCTGGAAATGGGGCGTTTGATTCGGGTTCACTGAGACCTGATTTAATTTTTCTGGGTGCGTGGGGAGGATAGGTGGTGCTGTCAAGAGGGCTCTTCTGCATGTCAGGAGCTGGACTCTGTTTGTAGCCACATGCCATGAAAAATAAAACAGAAAAATTTAGGGTGCATCTCCCTTGCACTCTGATGCTTATTCCAATTATGAGTTTAATTCAGTGTGTCTCTTTCACAGCCACAATAATATGGCCTGAGGTCCCTGCCTGAAGCCCTTTGCAGTATAGTACTGACTTGGTGATTTCCTCCTGTGACTACTAGTTAAAAGAAAACACCCTAAGCCTTAATCCATCCTCTGTTGGGTTTATTCCATTTTGAGATTATCCTGAGTGTAAATGGTAGTTAGTCGTGAGGAGTCTGAACAATATGAGAGAGAGTTGGTTACCTCCTACTTCATATGGTTAGATGTTTATGTGGCAAAGTCCTGAAACTGAAATTCTGTCATCTTGCAAGCACATAGCACAGACCCTGGCATCACAGGCTCCGTAACTGCTCCATGTGCGAAGAAGAGTTCACTCCTTGTTCATGGCCCTTGTAAAGCAACTTGCAAAAAGTGACAGTGAGTTCTAAGTATAATATTCTTGCATGTCTGCCATGGAAAGGGCTGCCTCCTGAAACTGGCTTTTAAAGGTCTAAGTCACTCTGATCTGACCTTCCTAGTTATTTGCAAGCACAGTTTGACATTTGGATAATTAAGAGCATAATTTATGGCTGAAAAGGGAGTGCAGTTTTCGTTTGTTTTATTTTTTTTCCTGGGATCTGACCCAAAATGTAGATAGGTCATGCTAATAGGAATCCTTGCGTCTCTTTCTTGACTTCAGTAAACTCACCCTGAATAAGGTCATAAAACTTATAGTCTTGGCTCTGAAAGATAGCAGGTATGGACAATCTCTACTGAAGTGAGTAGATACTGTTGTAGTCAGAGTGCTTCAGGATAGTCTCAAAGAGGTCCCCACTATCCTTTCTCCTACATGAAGACAATGCTTGTATTAATTATTTCTATGGGCAGAAGTATTTTCTTTGTGGTTGGTACTATGGTTATACTTTAGCAAGATAACCCATACAGTTCCTGTGAAACCACTATCTTACTGACACAGTATCCACTGTGATGAATAATAAGGGTGGTCTGAATCTGAAACGGCTTGACAGGTCTACTTTATTGGTCATGGCATGGACACACAGCTGGGATGGAGGGATCATCTGAGCATGCAATGGGAGCACAACAGTGCAAGCAAACAAGCACCTCTGTCAAAAGAAGACAGGTTCCTGGAGAGAGCTTTCCACCCGCAGAAAGCCACCTTTTGCTGTGTTTCATAAGTTTCCATGTTTTCTATAAGTTTCCTGGTCTACAGAATAAATGCACAAAACTAGTTGGGCTGTCAAAGTTTGTTTCTAAATGTACAGTGTTAGCTAATGCCTAATGGAGAGGCCTCTCAAACCAGCTCTATAGTGTGCTGCAATCTGCTTATGAAAGGGAACTCAGAACTAGTTCTTATATTAGAAATATTCTCTAAAGCTTGTAGTACCAGACCTTGCTTGGGTATGACCTTGTGCTTTTTTAGAGCCACATTTTCCAAACCTCACATCTGTTGTGCAAAAGGTGTACTTGAACACCCAGATAGTTTACTCTATGCCCACAGATCAGAAGCACATTTCTGTCACCATCTTAAACACAGTAGCTGTGATATTTCTGAGATCCAGTAAATTTCCTTCAAAGATATGTAGGAAGATTTCTTGGTTTACATTAGATGGCATAAAAAGCCCCATAATGTACAATGCTCTGTTTTGTGAGATAGCTTTAGGGGTGCTGTTATTTCACATATTTCCAATGATGCAACTGGTTCCCCTTTCTGAGTATTACGGTGAGGAGCAGGTCTTGTAACATTTGCCAACACAGTTTCTGTTTTCTCACTAGGATCGTTTCAAGTGAAGGAAAAACGGGCTGGTTTAGGAGGATGGGGTGTTCTCTGCCACTCCTGAGGCGGAAAGGTTCCTACCTTTTGTAAGTGCAGGGATTTTTTGTAACCAGTTTGAAGTCTTCTCTTGACATGTCAGTGCATAAGGATTAAAATGGAAAAAAAAAGGGACGAGAATGAACTTTCTTGGCAGTACCCAGTAAAGCTACAAGGCCTTCTTGCCACTCTGTGCTTTGCTTCATGGGACCCAACCCTTTACTTGAACTGCTGAACAAAGATGATCAGGTCAAATGAAGATCTGGCTTATATCTCTGCAAAAAGCCATTTGTTTTGCAGGCACATTGAACATCTAGGCCTCAGCTGAAGGCTATTTTGAAGCATGATAGCCTGGGGAAAGTACAATAGCTTCTTTTTCTTTCTTTTTTCCTTTTTTTCTTTTGTGGGTTTTTTTTCACTTCTTGGTTTTCTCATCACCTGATTGCATGAAAAAACATGCAACCAGCTGAGCAGTATTGAATGCTTTTTAGCCTCTAGAACTGAAAACATTCTATGTAATTAATGGTTTGTTTTAGGACCACAGGAAACTACTTGTCACTATCCATTAATGAGCACTTTGCTAGCTGTTGCATCTTCAGAAAAAATAGATCATGAAGCAGAAAACTCCACCTTCCAGAGTGCAATTTTATCCCCCTGGTCAAACTAATACTATGCACAAACCACCATTTTCATTATCAGTGCTTGGTGTTTTTTCCCAGTCTTATTAAAACTTGCCAGAATAAGAAAAAATGAGCTAAATCCACAGTAAGCTCATTCTGTCTACAAGAAGAGAAGCTGTTGCTCCTCACAATGGTGGCTGAGTCAAGGCTGGACCCTATTCATTGCAGAAGGTGGAATAACTGCCCTGGTGTATCAGTAGGCATCTGCGGTGCAGGGTGGGTTATTTGTCCTAGATTGTATGGGGAAAAAGTGGTAGAGAAGACAGAGAGGCCAAGACACTGACCCTCGTTCACAATCTGGGCATGTAGGCAACATGGCAGCAACCTCATCCCTGTCCAATAGGCATGTCTGGCTGCAACAGCAATAAAAATAATGTAACAGTGAGATTTAGAATCTTCTTTCTCACTGTGGTGTCTTAGATTGTATTCAGTCACATTCACCAAGATAATTGCCCTGAACTTATGTGCTGATGGCATGTTAATGTGCAAGAGTGGAGCTGACATCTTCAGGTCGCTGATTAAAAGAGAAAACCTCCCTTCCCATCTTGAAAAAAGTGTGAAAGACTATTTTTTTCTTTTTTCCTTTTTTTTTTTTTTTTTTGGTCAAGTTTTCAACGGCACAATGGAATATCTATCTACAGGTTGAATTGGCATCTGTTTGGATTCAAGGCTTTTTGGCTGTACAAGCTGATTGTTTTGCTCATTCTCACAGTAATCAGACCAGTGTGTCAGACTTGATATGTAAACTCCATAGAGAGGAGATTCGGGAATTGCTTTGTTGGGGAAAAAATGGAGCCATTGCTTGCAGATAAACTATTTATTTTTAAAAATTGGAAAAAATCCCTTTTTGTTTATTTGCTACTCTGAAATAATTGATGTTTTTCTGTTTTCCAGAGCTATTTTCTGACAAGCAAATAGCAATTTATTTTTATGTGGGATAAATCCTTCCTGTGTGCTTCCCACTCTGTGAAATGGGGTTGGGGGAAAATATGCCCTTTTCCATTAAAATACTAGTGACTGAATCAAAGCATGATTCAAGTGGGCACTGTTCTAAGCAATAATATCAAAGTTGTCACAATTGTGTGGGGGCTTTAATGTTCTGGATGGTACTTGCAATTAGTCTGCAGATCCATGAGTCAAGGCAACTGTTGAAATCTCTCAAACATTAGGTGGGGCCCAAATGACTTATTTTTCGAGGTGCTAATAGAGTCATTTGAAGGTATAGCAGAACTGACTGAAAAACAGGGCCCACTGGGAGCATAGGTGATGTGGGCTGTTGCCTTGGGCAGCAGCAGCCTGCCAAGGGCACAGCAAAATGGTCATGTCTTCATTGTTGGCTTTGCCTCTGCCTGCACCCAGGGAAATCAGGTTTGCTGCCGCTGCCAGGACAGGGTGTGTGAGACTGAGACCAGCTGCCTTTAGTGGTCACTGCTCTTGCCTGGCAATTTACTTTCTGACAGCAGGAGCTGCCTGAGATGAGATGCATAGGGTCATGATTTAAGGGGATGCTTTTTCCCAGTAAACATGCAGATAATCCTTACCAACTGTGATGGCTTGTTCAAATCTTGCAAGACTTGTAGCCTCTATGAGCATGGGTAGAGTCTCTGATATGTTCCTGCTTATAGGCCTGTGGCAGCTCAGCTGGAGGCCGTAACCCTCCTCATCCTCCTCTGTCCTCTGAGCTGAGTTTTGTATGAGTGCCTGGTGTTCCCATGACTGCGATGTGGCGATACAGTTTGGAGCTCTGACAGCTCTGCAGTACGGGCAGGATGGTTATATTTTCCGGCACATGGTGGATGTTGTCAGTACATTTTATAGTGAATTTCAAAGTGAAAATAAAGTAATTTTATTACAGTACATAAAACTCATGTAATGTGAAGAAAACTTCATTAAAAGGCCTGCAAAGATGTGACCCTGACATTCTGGAGTCAGTGTTGCTTGTGACTGGACAGACTCCTTATTGCTTTGACCCTCTCTGTCCATGCTGATTAATCTTGGTAGTTAAGACAACCATTTGACTCCCCTTTACAAAATTGTTGTGTCTTCCATGATCTGCCACAGCGTTGGAACTGCGCAGCAAGCGAGTTAGGATCATAGAATGGTTTGGGTTGAAAGGGACCTTTTAAGGCCTCATCTAGTTCCAACCCCCTGTCAAGGCCAAGGACACCTTCCGCTAGACCAGGTTGATCAAAACCCCACCCAGCTTGGCTTTGAACACTGTCAGGGATGGAGCATTTACCACTTCTTTGGGCAGCCTGTGCCAATGCCTCACCACCCTCACGGTAAAGAACTTCTTCCTAATTTCTTCCCTTAGGGAAACCTCCCTGTGATTTCTGGAGACAGAGCCCTGTGCATATCATAATCATCGGGTCAGAGTGGCTTTCTGGAGGATGTGTTCAACTTTCACCATCTAATTTCATGACTTCTTTCTTCAGTAAGGACTCTTAGTGAAACAGTACAGTCCCAGCAGTGTACTCACAGTCTGAAGCAGATTGCTAAACAGAAGTGGGCAGATGTTCCATCTGGAAAGGTGATGTTTTCTGGTAATCCTCACCCAGTGCCTACACATTCTCTTCAGGCAGTTGTATTAGAACCAGGTGTGGATACACAAGTATTGAATAGTTTCAGGAACAGAATGGAAAGATTTTGTTTGAAAGCCAGGAATAATTTTGCAATTGGCTGTAGGATGGATGTCGTTACTTCTGAAAGCGGCAGTGCAGGGCAGTGTAACTGGCTTGGAACAAACATCCCAGGCAAGGCTTGCTCAGGTGATCTTTCTGAACACTTCCTCCCTTTTTTCCTCATAATTAAAGAAGTATTTGTACAGGGGAATATGTTGACCATTTTTAACCCAGATTCCTCTTACTAATGTCCCAACAGTCATCTGATACTGCCATAGTGGTATTGCTGGCAGAAAGGGGTGGCAGAGTAGCAGAGAATGGCAAATACAGGGTTATAAGTGAATTTCTTCTAGTAGATATAAAAGGTAAAAGTTTCTCCTTTGCTGTTCTGAAAGAGTATTCTTCAGCAATCTTACGCATCTTTATTTAGAGATATTTTGTATCATTGCATATTACTAGTTTATTGTGGCTGACCAAGTGAGCTCTCATCAGCCAGCTGAGCTGTGGCTACTGAACCCATACCTTCTTGTAACCTGTCCCAGCTGCTAAGGAGAACATTAGCACAAACTGTTCCCTGGCTGTCTTCAGTATATTAAGTCTCGTATGTGGCATTTTGGTTATGAAGAAAAAAATCCAGGTCACTGGAGCTCTTTGTTGATTGTGGTGAGATTTCAGATGTAACTGCTGTTTACTGGTGCTGCAGTAATGAGTGAGGCAGTATATGTTTTTAGCTGCATACATTATTGTTTTACATAAATGGGAGCATATTTGATTTTGGGATTATGGTATGTGGGGTGGGTTCATACTTATTTTAAATGTGCAATCTTTTTATTGTAGGAAGTATCTGATTGAAAGTGGTCCCTCAAAAAAGGTGGTGCCTTTTCTGAAAAAGCCCATATATCTCTGATGGATGTGCACATTGCCTGAAAACTCTTTGGACTGCTGCAGATTGATACTTGATCGATCCTAGGAGTGGCCTAGATGACTGTAGCATCAAAGAAGCTTCAGTACCTGGTGGTGAACTTTAAGTCAAAGTGCTGCTTAAAATGAAAATCAGATTTCAAATTGTATATTCCTGGCAAATAAGTTGCAAGTTACTGCCTTATTGCAGAGAAGTGTACTCTCAGTAATTCTAAGGCAGTTGTCACTGTTATTTAGGCACTGGTACTGCCACTGCATTGCCTTATGGCAGCAGGAGCAAACAACTGAATGGTGAATATTTAATGAAAAGTCTGACATATATCTACAGTGAATCATTTGCTACAGAATTGTAAATAAAACAGTATTTTTAATTCTCTGCCTAGGGCTATTTGAGTGTACCAGGTATGAGTTATGTCCACAGGTCAGAAAAGCTAAGGTTAGAGTAGCCTGGGCTGCAAATTAGGCATCATATAAATATATATTTTTAACTGCCGGCGGTAGAAGTTGTCTGGGTCAATTTTTAACATAGGGTTGTGTCTCTGTGTGTGTGGTGTTGCCTGTGAACCAAAAGCTGAATGTTTAGATACACCTTATTTAAATTCATCCATCCAAACCCCTGATTTGTCTCACCATCCTTTCCCTCAGATGTGTGTGTGAGTTTCCATTAAGACAGTCTTCAAGTAGCGGTCACACTCACTTTGGACTTCTCACCTCAGTCAAGGCGGTTGGTGCTTTTTCATTTCCTTTTATTTTCCTTTACGTTACTCCATCCTCTGAACCCCACACTGAATACAAACTTCCTTCAGGGACTGCAAATGCTCTGATCATAGTTTCTCTGTTGTTCATGTACACGGGTGGATTTCTCCCCTCAGCTAGCACTGCACTGAAGTGAAGTGGTGTTAGCTCCATCTCATATGTGAGCCTCTGAGATGCAAATGTTAAAGCTGTTACTGCCTGATATGCCCACTCATTTTGGATTCTGTATCTGGGATACAGGGGGTGGGGAAGACCAGGGTACTTGACATTTTATTCCTCTATTTGCCTTTAAAGCATAGCTTCCACTGACCTTCAGTGGGAGGTGGGAATTTGTTATCCATGTACCAGATGTCCCAAAATGGACACCTGGGAAATGAAACATGGGTACATTTAGGATGCTGGCTTAGGAAAGAACTCTGTGATGCAAGAAAGCTGTGCCCAAGGGAAGGGTGAAAATCTTGTTTTCTAGGGTGACACAGAATACCCAGTACTACAAACTCACCCTTCTAAGGCAATTTGAGAGACAGCTCAATCTGGCTGTCAAACCTGCTGATGGAATTACAGCTTGTCCCCAGCTCAGGTGTTTTGGTTGTGCCCGTCCCTCTGATGTTGACAATGTGGGCACTTCTTACTGTCAGCCCTCCCTCCACTGCTGAGTTTGAGGGTGAGGACCTCTGGGCCTGACAAGGGAAGATTCTCTTCAAAACCTACAGAATTTCCATATCTTCCCTGTGGGCTCCTTTCACAGCCGCAGAGGCTCCCATCCACAGGATTTGGCACATAGGTGTTTTTTCCTTCCCGCTTTGCCACACACTCCTAATGGTCTTACAAGAGGGTACAAGAAGAGGGGCTCTTGCTCTACACTAGGAAGCCTTCAGCTGCTCTGTGGCTATTCAGGAAGGCAGTCTCTGACACATTGCATTTGTACATCCACCTTATTCTCCAGGTTTAACATTAAAGGGAAGCATCACACATCTCCCAACTTCTGTGACTGTGAATCCTGTCAGAACAGAGACCACTTTAACATGCCCCTCTTTGCATCTAAAGAATTCATGCTGTACACTGAAGGAGATTGGAAACTGTGGGAAAATACTATATAATTAGATGTTGGATTCTGGAGTATACAATTCATGGGAAAGAATTAGGGTTTGCATAGGCATCTCCCAGAGGCTAGCATTTGCAACACTTCATTTCTTTGAACTGAGGAAAATGGACTATGTGCCTGGTCTTTTTGAAAGGGAGGGAACTGACCTCTGCAAGCTGCCCGAAAATGAGTCTTTGATTTTTTTTTTTCTCTCTGTGCTTATGTGATTTCTTAAGACTGAGTTTATTGCTGAACTTGAGCACCTTCCTTGACAGGTAGCCTCACAAGTTCAAAGCAATGTGCTACAAAACAGAACTAGTATGAAGATCAGTATCTGGCAAGACTGGCTGTTTCAAGTGCTGTAGCAAAATAGCAAGAAAATAAGTGTAATGTAAGGCCATTTATCCTACTAGCAAATCTCATATGTGCTCACTCAAGCTTACTGTGACGTACCCTGGGGACTCAGTCTAATGAGAGAAACATTAAACTTTGGCATTAATGGAATGGACCATGTAAGTTGATTGGCAAAAATAAGGCATATTGTCAGGGAACAGAGATGCCTGTTTTAAGTATGTTAGGAGAAGAGGAACCAGGAGAGATTCAGAAGACATAACTTCAGAATAGTCTAGCGGGTGGGAAAATCTCTAAAGATTATCAAATCCTCCTATTTCAGTAGAAAGTTGGTTGGCAAAATAAGGCTGCTTCATCATAAATATTGCAGGCAAAAATAATAAAACCTCTTGCTTCAGCTTCAGTTTTCTAGGAATAGGTATTGTTTCCTTCTGAGATTCTCTGTTATAAGAAATGTTGATTTAAAGAAACTGCGCAGAAGCAAGCAAACAGTAAATTTCGCAGAAATGTTTCCATTCTGTTTTTCCAAATGTTGTAGGCATCTAAAAATCTGAGATTTTTCTGTGAGTCAGGATAAAAACGGAGCTGAAGATCAGTTTGGCTTTTTGGCAAACTGTATATATTGATGGGGCCAAAGAGTGAGAATAACTTGGTATCATACCAGCCAGGGCTCTTAGCAGGGAACAGGCACCTGGTTTAAATATGTTAGGAGAAGAGGAACCAGGAGAAATTCAAAAGCCAGAACTTCAAAATAGTCTAGCAGGTGGGAAAGTCTCTAAAGATTGTCACATCCTGCTCCTATTTCAATAAGAAGGAGAACCCTGCTCTTCAGCGTCCCTGATGAATACCTTAATCGTGGAACTAGTGGAAAAGTCAGAGACTTCCCTAGCCCACTGACTTGGTGTGAAGCACATATGTGAAAAGGTCCCCTTCCCCACTTCCCTTATGCTTTGATTCATACATTAAGTCTGATCCCAGACTGATTTCCTTTTCCTTTCCCTTGAATTTCCATTCTTTCTGAAGGAGATACATCCCAATGTAGTTGACTATCATTTCCTCAAACTGCTGACGCAAGTCACTGCAGCATGGATCCCTGCAGGGCTTGCTGAGCCTTGAGGGGTTGGTATTAAGAGAGTCAGCCAGAGCTGCTTTAGAGAATGCTGCCTTTGAGCTGTTAGTGCTTCAGCTCTCAGCCTGACAGAGAAACAAAATGGAAATCAGTCAGGAGCACGAACCAAAGTGGAGGTGTTCCTGGTACCAGTGGAAGAGGCAACCCAGGTGCCTCTGCAGAGGATTATGGATGTCAGCTTTTGTGTTTCCTTGGTGAATGAGTCACTGTGGCTGTGCATCTTCCTTTTTTAAACATTCATAACAGCATTTTTTTCCATGTTCGTATGACTACTTCCAAATACTAACTTCAGATACATCCATATGGACTTTTGCAAACCTGTCTGAGCCCTCTCTGCTTTCCTGGATAGAAGCCAGCTTTGACCCAGCAGACATTTAACCTGGTTAGTGTGGTCCAAAACTTGGCCTGATCTCTCTGTCAGAGTTTAAAAGCTCAAGATCAGATTTTTCTGGCTGGCTTTCCATTATAATAGTGGTCTTTTGTGCAGATGGATCAAAATAGAGGCAGACAGAGCTTTAGTTACTTGCAAAGTAAGTATGACTTTATCCTATGAATTTGAAGTATAAGAAACAACAAACTTAAATAGCATGGCAGTTCCTGACTTCATTTTTCATTGCTTCTCCTATTCTGGGGAAGCTGCTACCTTGTCAAAATACGATATGTACAAGAGAAAATCCCAAAAGGAAAGTCAAATGACATATGGGACATTCCCATCATGTTGAATTTTGTGGTGCAAAATGGAACTCTTGAGACACCATGTACTAGAGATCAGGCCATTGTGCATAACCTTAATTTGAACTTTTTCGCTGCCAGTTTTGTTGTGTCAGTCAGTGTTTGAGTGCTCTGCTGAGTTGGCACTGCCGGAAGCAGGTTGTTCCTTATCAAGTGCTGGCAGGAAATGTTACACCAGAAGGGTGGACACAGAGACCCTGGCTGCTGGGCATTTGCACTGGGAGATAATTTCCTGAGTGTCATGAGACAGTGTGGTTTGTTCATCATGTAAAAAAGCCCAGCTCTTGGGGTATTTTCCTCTGATTGCTAAGTCCACTGCAGAAGAGTAAAAAGATATGATACTTAAAAATAGGATATATCCTGAACTGTTGCAGATGCCATCTGTTCTCAAAGAAACAACTGGCAGAAAAAAATAACCTTGGGTTGAAACCTTGCATGAAGTTGCCATTTAAAATAAGCGGGGTTGGCTTTGTTATTTTTATTTTTTGGAGGTGTAGGAAAAGGGCTGTTTGATGGCAACTGACAGAAAACAGAAATGTGGAACTAGAATGCATGTATTACAGACATGGAGAAAAGTCGTGTTGTGAAGACCTGTTAAATAGCAAACTCAGAGATCAAAAATCACACTGATACTGAAAAGGACCCATGTACTGTTTTAAATGAGCTCATGCAGAAGACTGCAGGAAGATGTCTGCCCACTACCAGAAGGTGGTTTCTAGGGAAAATGTCTGCCTTACTAGTCATAAGCAAGTAAGACCTAATTTTCTAGTTGGGCTCGGTTCTCTGGTGAAAAGCATGGCTTCCTTACCCATTCAGATTTCATCCAGTCTGTCAGCGAGGGGTGGATCAGTAGCCATGGGAATACTGACTCCATCCCCGTATTCTGTTCCCTCATATCACACCCAGAGCCTATGGAACATGAGCAAAGTCTTTTTGGGCTTTGGCTTTGACCTAGCAGTCAGCACTGATTCTTCTGGCTCTGTTGGGGCGTGATTACATGATTGAAAAGAATTGAGTTTTCACAGAGTGACAAGTTGCTGTTCCCCAAAGAGCTGCAGTCACTAGCCATGCCATCTGCCCCAAGTCTGATGAAAAATCCCAAGAGACCATTAGTGGACTTGGTCACTTGTGTAGTTTTGGATACCCTTCTGAGAAGTCAAGTGGGATACCTTTATCATATTCCCATGATTTTCTTTGGTATTGGTACAGTCTGAAGGTGAACAACCAGTTACTGAGCTGAGGAGCAACCCACTTGCCTCCTTTTACATGAGCTGTTGTCTTCAGAGCATCTGTGGGCTACATGCAGGTGTAGTAGCATGTGAAATTGGCATGCCACAGTTGAGAGTCTTATACAGGTTAAAGTTCTGAAAATGGCATGCCTGCATTTCAGTGTATTTACTCCTGTTCTACACTAATGTGAAAAGCAGCAGACTTTTATCCAAGACATGTACCAAGAAACTGTATGCAAAGTAAAGAGAATGAAGACGGCATGGTGTTCTCTCAAACAAGAGAGTCATGTTCCAAGGGAGTGTCCTAATGCTGTCAACCTCACTGTTTTTGCTAATCCCAAGTGGCACAGCGTGGTGAGGTAAGACAAGGGTGTTTTAAAGAATAGGCTTGATAGTGATATTTCTGATTCTGTTCTTTTTTTTGCATCTCTCAGCCCAGGAAT